TTCGCTCGGCCGGTGAGCGTGGAATAGAATGCCCTACACATTACGGCGTCTGACACGCCCTTCAGCATCATGTTGCTATAGAAATCGTTAACGTGGGCTTCGGGGTCTGCCCGACCATCATAACTCTTCTCTCCAGAGACCTTTAAATCAAGCGGGTAAGGCTGGGCCATCACCGCCGCTGTGAAAGGCGTCTGGTGCAGGGTCGATTGGTCGACCGGGGGTGTTGCAGGGTACGCATTTCTGAGTTGCGCAACCTCTGCCTGGAGGTTGTAGAGCAATCCTCGGGTCTCGTTGAGCTCGGCGGCTTGGGCGGCTTGGGCCGTATCCCGAGCACGTCGCCGTCGGTGAGATCTCGACCCGCTATGCCCGGATGAAGCCTCTTGATTAGCTTCCTGCATCTGTACGTCTTCCGGCTGGCGATTTGGGTCTTGGGGCCCCAATCTTTGCCGCATCTCCGGTCGAAGACGGATAAAAGCTACCGCTCGGGTAACTTCCTCAGGGTCCTCCGCTCGGGCAGGAACCTCCTCTGCTTGCTGGGTCTGCCGTGGTGCCTCCATCGCAACAGCACCCCCCGACCCCAACCGCGAACGAGCCGAGCGTCGAGCCCGGGAAGTGGGCTGATGCTGCGGCTCAATTTGAGCGGCCGGGTATACTGGAGGGGCGGCGGCTGGAGCCGTGTACGCAGGTGTGAACGGTGGATAGCCAACCGGAGGTGTGTAATACATTGGTTGGCCTGGCCAATACCCGTACGGTTGAGGTGGGACCGGGTACGGATACTGACCGGGATACATCATTGGTTGTGGATATTGCTGACCGGGCGTCTGGAATCCCGGTTGTATGTAGTTCACCGGCTGTTGGGCGGCCGGGTATGTGTTGGATGGATGTGGTGGTGAGAGGTTAAGATTCAGGTCCACCGTTTGAACTTGCTGTTGGGTGGCGTGGTGGTCGGATGAGCTTGCTGCATCCGCCTGGTCGTCAGCGAAGTTGTTGTATGCCCACGAATACATTGTTGCAAAGAGACCGGGTGCTCGTCAAGACGTTGCTTTCTTGCACGGGTCCCCACAGACGGCGGCAAAATGATACTGCTAATTATACGTAAGCAATATAAAATAAGTCCGAGACCAATTAAAGCAAGTAAATGTCTTATTGATCACGGTAAAGGCCCTAAGTACAATCTACTTGGTTGCTCTGAGTGCCGACTGACTGTGGTCGGGATTCTCTAGCAACAACCTATCGATCGTCCAAAAGTCCTCTACACTGTAGCTACTGTAGGTATTTATAGCCGCTGTACCGGGGACAAGAATCCGGTCGTTCGGCATGTTCTCCACGTAGCCACCACGTGTCATCCTCCCGGGTGCCCTGTCTGTCGTCGTAGAGAGCCGCCACGTGTCCTTTGTCAGCTCTCTCGCCAAAGGGCTACCGCTCGGTGGTTGACACAGCCGCTCGGGCAACTCCCGGTCTGACCCCGACCGGGTTCTTCACACGAAGCCCGACTTATTACCTGCAAAGACAGAGAGAAAAGACGAAGGCCGTCTCGTTCGGGGTAAAGCTTATGCCGGTCGGGACATTCCCTACCAATATGTATATATATATATATATATATATATAAATAAAAGGAAAATGCTTCTTATATCCCTTCTGAATTTCACCTCCTAAATTTCCCTGATGATGTAACTTTCACTTATTGGGTGTCATGAATTGACTAACCCACCTAGGTATGACAATTTACCATGTCCCCGATGGGGATACCGATCCCTGCCCCGACGGGAACGGAAAATATTTATAATTCTCCATCGAGGACGGGGATGGGGACAGGGACAGAAATACCCCTCCCCGCCCCACCCCGTTTTCGAATAAATAAATAATTAAATAAATAAATAAATAAATAAATAAATAAATATATATATATATATATATATATATATATATATATATATATATATATAAAGGGGTTTCTGTGCGGTTGAGGGTGCCAGGTGCGGTTGTGCGGTGAAAGGAGAACCATTGATTTTGCTTAAATCAACGTTTAGATTACCAAAATTAAATTAAAAAACGCGGTGGCATTTTGGTAATTTTTGCATCCAGGTAAATTTAAGGTGTTTAGGTTTGGACTTAATGTGCGTGAGTTTTGTGGTTAATATGTGTGTGATTTGTGCTTAAAATGCGTGTGGTTTGTGCTTAAGGTGCATGAGGGTTGTGCATAAGGTGCGTGAGGTTAATGATTAATGTCAGTAGTTGTTGAAACTTAAGGTGCGTGAGGTTAGTGATTAATGTCATTAGTTATTGAAACTTAAGGTGTGTGAGTTAATACTTAAAATGCGTCAGTTTAATGCTTAATGTGTGTGAGGTTTGTGTTTAATGTGCGTGGGTTTTATGCTTAATATGCGTGAGTTTGTGCTTAATGTGAGCCATTTTAAAATCTCAAGTGCGTGAGTTTTGTGCTTAATGTGCTTTGTTCTGTACTTAAGGTGTGTGGTTTATGTACTTAATGTGAGTGATTTATGTTTTTAAGTGCTTTGTTTGTGTGCTTAAGGTGCGTGGTGATTTGTATACTTAAAGTGCGCTATGTTGATGTTTAAGGTGCGTCCAACCGCACGGGAAGCATCACCTGCACCTGAACCCTTCCCTATATATATATATATATATATATATATATATATATATATATATATATATATTAAGATTTAGATTTTTTAGTTTGTAAAATTAAAAATTACGATTTTGACTAAGAGTGACTGGTGACGGAGAATCTTTGTCTCCATCCAATTTCTCGCGAGGATGGGGATGGGGACTGGCACGAGAACGGGGTCGGGACTTCGGGGATGGGGACGGCGAGTATATGCCCCACCCCACCCTATTGACATCCTAAAACCCACCACTAATTTTTTTTAAATAGTAACCAATTAACTAATGACACATTATGAAGGATAGATTGGAGGGAATATATATAGATTTTGGTTCAAATGAGGACAAGACTTCTTGTGCGATCAGTGCAAATTGCACCATTAGGTATGCATAAATGCCCTATACAGTGTTCGAAAATGACCAGAATGAAATGCCACAAAATGCACCACAAATCAAAAAAATTCACCACACATAATGGTGTATTTTCATACACTTTATGGTACATTTATGCCAACCTAATGGTGCAATCCGCACGGGAAGCACTGTTCACACATGAACTTGACCATAAATATATATATATATATATATATATATATATATATATATATATATATATATATAATTAAGTTCCAGTGCGGGTAAGTATCTCCCGTGCGGTTGTGCTGGTGATTAATGTGCGTGAGTTTTGTACTTAAGATGCGTGAGTATTGTGCTTAAGGTGCATGGGGTTTGTGCTTAATGTGCGTGGGTTTTGTACTTAAAGTGTCTGAGTCTTGTGCTTAAGGTGCGTGAGTTTTGTGCTTAATGTGCGTGAGTTTTGTACTTAAGGTGCCTGAGTCTTGTGCTTAAGGTGCCTGAGTTTCGTGCTTAATGTGCGTGAGTGTGTACTTAATGTGAATTGTTGTTGAAACTTTAAGGTGCATGAGTTTTGGGCTTAATGTGCGTGAGTTTTGTGCGTGAAATTTGTGTTTAACATGCGTGAGTTTTGTGCTTAATGTGTGTACTACTAATTTCTTTTTCTTTTTTTTTTTTTTAAATAGTAACCAATAAACTAATGATATATCATGAAGGATAGATTGGAGAGAAAAAATAAGAGTATCTAGCATTACTCAGTTTTTATTTAGCAATATATATATATATATATATATATATATATATATATATATATATAGGGTAGAGTTCCAATGAGAACATGTGCTTAGGTGAGAACATGAGAACATGAGAACACATCATGTGCATCCATCTAATATTTTTTAATGGTCTAGATTAGATTAAGTGTGTGCAAACGCGATTTAGTGTGTTTGCACACATTTAATGCGCGTTCGCACACACTTAATCTAATCTAGACCATTAAAAAATATTAGATGGATGCACATGATGTGTTCTCACGTTATCACCTAAGCACATGTTCTCATATGATCCTAACTCTCTCTCATATGAGAACATGTGCTTAGGTATATATATATATATATATATATATATATATATATATATATATATAATGAGTTAAACTCATGCGGAGAATGACTAGTTTTTGACTTTATGTTAGGATGTAAAAAGTTTAACTCCTATCCTAACCTTGTCGGTTTCATAGTTATCACGGCACCCTGTTAAGTCGCGGTGCACCCCGACCGCCTTGTCGCCTAGGCGACAAGGTGCCCGCCTAGGCGACAAGTTAAAAAATTATATATATATATATATATATATATATATATATATATATATATATATATATATATATATATATACTCCGTATATAATATACAAGTGGGAGACAGTAAGCATCGGCTTTACTGCTTCTGTCAGTCTGCCCACTGCCATGTCCCATCTGTCCACTTCCATGTCCCATCTGCCCACTGCCCTGTCCCATCTGCCCAGCTCCTCTGCTAATATAAACCAAAAAGTTACAATGAGCAAGTGACTGGTAAACTATAAGGCCTCAGCCGGGGAAAAAAAAACCTCTCAGCACCAAAGAAAATGGAGAAGCAAAAAGACCGAAGAAGATTCACGAGTCACGGAAGTGGGACGGCGACGGCAGGACCTGAAATGTTTTTTCTCTCTCTTCTCTATTCTACCATTTTTTTTTAAATAAAATAAAATGGGTTGGGTATTTGGGTTTGGACGCCGGATCGGCATCCAAAGGCGTCGCCTTGGCGACGCCGGAACTCGCCTCACCATTTCAGGCGAGGCGAAGCCTCTAGGCATCCTGTCTCCACCGACAGGATGCCAAGGCGACGCCTAGTTGACGTCGTGATAACTATGGTCGGTTTATTAAAATAAAATAAAATAAAATAAAACCTATCCAACAGGTTAAAAGAGGAAAATTTGGAAATCGCATTGCTCAAATTGTCAACTTGCATGCAACAACAGTATTGCTAACTCCAATTTTCATTCAATTTATAATGTGGAAAGGAACAATAAAGTGGATTTCAAGCAACTGTTACAGATCTGGTCCTTTACTTGATCTTGTACCATACCTATACATTTTGAAAGGAAACAACTCATATGCATTAATAATTAACCAAATGGGAAATGCAGGGCGGTGGAATAGACAACCACGACTCTAGGATAGATGAAGATTCAGTTGCCCATGCCAATACATGAGTCACATGATTCGCTGACTGCTTGACATGGTGAACAAACTCGTTCCAGTGTCACTAACAATATCACCATATTGCTTTACAATCAAACCCGTATACGAAAGATCTAAAGAATACGTATTAAAACTAGTACAAAAATTAAGGCAATCAGTCTCAATAATTAAATTAATAAAAAGACAAGATTTAACCAAGAAAGAAAGGATACATAAATACTAAAAGGGAAAACCTGATATCCTAACTTTGTAAGGAAAGAGAATTACAGTGCTTGAGCTGCTGCTTTTACAGCCAAAGCTGGGGGAATGTTCTTAGTTTATTTGCAGGAATGGAGGTCAGGTCTCATAAAACTATAACCCCTGAAAGGGTTCTCACAGCCTTTCGGACTGGCAGCTGGAGACTCTAACAGAGGCATGGCGGTCCACCGCTCCTCAAAGTTTGCAACGCAGTGTTTCCCTGCAACTTCGGGGCAGAAACTTGGCTGGATTTCTCGAGCCTCTAGTTTCTTCCAGTTGATGGAACGGAACCACTTGTGGCTCTTTATCTCATCGCTACCTTTTGGTCCACTGCCAAAGCGCTTCCGTGCCTCCTTCTGTAGTAGCTGGACAGAAAAAAAAAGCGTATTTCTTGTTCAGAATTCAACATATGATATCGACTGAGAAACAGGAGTGAATGCAATTCAGTATGACCATTGGTCTTGCAACTAATTGATGACACTATATAATCTCAGTCATATGATCCTAACTAATGTTTCCTATGTCAGTGATAAGGATCCAAACTGGTCTCGGGGCCAAAAAAAACGAAGTTGTTGGCCTGTGTTAAGACAAATAAGTTAAGATAGACAAAGATTACCCCTTTTAACAGGGAATGTGCATCACTTGACAAATATGCAGGGAGCTTGATCTTGTCCTTTGTGATCTTCTGCTGAACTTTCTGCCGGTTCCCACCAAAAAAGGGAGGCTACATATAGACGGGGCAAATGTAAAGCGAAATTTTTAGTATATACCAGACAAGTTAACTCCGGAAAATCATGAATTCACGAGATGGTTCACAAAGAACTACAAACCTTTCCTGTAAGCATCTCATATAGTAGAACTCCCACGCTCCACCAGTCTGCAGCCTTATCATGGCCCTTCCCAAGAATAATTTCAGGTGCCATATACTCCACTGTCCCGCACAGAGAGTTAAACCGCGAGTTCTCATCAAATTGCTTTGCAAGACCAAAGTCGGTCAGTACAACCTGCAATAAAAAAAACCGGGCAGTTTTTGTGGCCAGTCAACAACTTATTCTTGAAGTTAACTATTCAAAATCCATAATCATCTGTCATAACCATAATCTATAATCATAAGTTCAACAAAAATGGACTAATATAATCACAGAATCGCACAAATTAATTTGCAGTAAGCGGACGACAAGAATGAGATACTAACATGACCCTCTGCATCCAAAAGTATATTTTCGGGTTTAAGATCCCTGTGTATTATTCCCTTATCATGGAGGTGAGAAACAGCGGAAACAATCTCAGCAGTATAGATCCGTGCTAAATCCTCTCTGAAAAGATTACCAAGTGTTACTAGCTGTGCATATTTGACGGTATTCTGATTAAGGGTACTATTTATAGGCAGTAATTATGCTTTTACCTGAATAAGCCTTGACGGCAGAGTTGAAAGAAAAGATGTCCCCCGTTAACAAAATCCAAAACAAGGTAGAGTCTGTATTTAGTCTGCATCGAAATCAAAATGTTAAACTATAGTATAATAAAACTACTCAAGCGTCAATAAATTAGATACTTAAGGCCGGAAACTAATGGTTAGAGCTAAATAATTATTGTTCTAAGTTCATATTCATCACTGGTTACCTGGAAAGAGTATTTAAGCTGCACAATGAAAGGGTGATCTATTTTAGTCAGTATATTCCTCTCGCTAATCATGTACTCAGTTTGACTTTTGTCCAAAACCTTATCCTTTCGCATGACCTTCATTGCGAAGATTTCTGAGGTGTCAATCTTCTGCACCTGATAAACTTTTCCAAATGCACCTTGGCCAACAACTTTTAACACTTCAAAGTCTTCAAGTCCAACTGATTTTGGTAAAAGACTGCGCTCCTGAACAGTGGAATCCCCAGCAATAGAATTCTCAAAAGAAGATTGACGTTTTCCATTAGCCTCCTCACAGACTTTGTCTACAAGTACCAGAGAGTCATCATTCTCACGTAATGTGAGTCTGCTGAGCCTTTGTGTCTGATTAATACAGGTTGTTGGTCCAACAAAAGAATGAGAGCGACTGTAAACTACAGTCGGGTCTTCATAAGCCAATCCAATTGTATCTGGCACCGCAACGTTTTCATAGATTGGTGACTGAGCTGGAACAGGACCAAAGACATCAGAAAACTCCAAATCAACATTATCCAGTGCCTTGACATCAGGTGGTTTCAACGGGAGAAGCGCATTATTCTGAAGGGGTTTCTTCCCCGGTAACTGTGAGAACTTAGCAGAAACCATGTTTTACTCAAGGAAAGAAGGGTCAGTTCAACAACAGGCACTGCACAACGATGGAGAAACACACTCCCCAAAGCCCCAAACAAAACTATCAAAGAAAGACACCTCAAAATACCCTGAAGAGGAGGTAATTCTCAAATGCAACAACGGTCCCAAAGAATCTCGGGTAGAGGCAAGTCAAAATCCAGAAAAGGGAGCTGTACTTGTTCCCTGCTTTAGAGGAAACAGCAAACGCAGCAATGCTTCTCCAATTCATGAAGGTCAGACAAAAAAAGTCTGCAGCGGAAAAGAAACCGTTTCAAAAACCACCAAAAAAAAGAGAGAAACTTGGTAGCTATCTCCACACAATGAAAAGATAAAAGGGGGTGTTTGGTAAATGGTTGTTAGCTGATTGAGTTAGTGGGTATAACTAGTTGATAGCATTAGCTAATTTTAGAAAAGTGTTTGGTAAATTAGCTGTTAGCTGATTATATACAAAATGATTTTCTCAAAAAGTTGATCAAAAAAGCTACTTTGAGCAGTTTTTTGAATTTTAGCATTTTAGAGCAATTGGTTGTTACGAAAAGCTAATTAATCAAACACTCTGATTGTTTAACCAAGTCAAACAGCTAATAATGGTCAAATAAGCTAAAATTGGCTTGATAGATTAACTATTTTACCAAACAGAGATTATAAGTTAAAAATACAAATTTTAAACAAATGAAATACACATAAACCAGGGCCAAGCAACATTACAACAACAACAAAAGCAACAAAGATGATAAGTTAAAAATACAAATTTTAGATATCACACTGCACAAACTTACCAACTCTACAGAAATCTGAGCTCCTAGTTTAAACATAGTAAAATCCTATCCTAAGCATTCAAAACTTCAAATGTAATCAAAATCCCATCTACCAATTTCCCCTTTTGTTTCCTTAAACTAATCTGCTCCTCTTCTACCATTCAAGATTCAAAATTTCGTTCAATAAAAGAAAAAAGAAAACAGACCGGGGTTAAATTCTTAATCAATCCAAAACAACAAAGCAAAAGTTCAAACTCTTAAGCACAGATCAGCGTGTAAAACTACAACGAATCTAGGAAATCAACGAAACAACAACTGCCCGTAACTTATACGCACGTATACGCAAAGAGGGAATCGTATTATATCTGTTGAAGAAGTTTACCTTGAAAGAAAGAAATGCAGAGGGAGCCGTGGAAGGAAGAGAGGAGACCAAATTGGGACGGAAGAAGAAAGAGCGTATGATCCGCGAATTTGCGTCGTGTGGCCGCTTTTAACTAACTCTTTAGAATTTCAAAAAAAAAAAAAAAAAAAAAAAACTAACTAACTCTTTAGGGATGTTTCCGGTGTGTACGCGGTTCACCCTGTTCCCCCACGTGTGATGCTGGGATTGGGTGGGACAGTTTCTAACTAATGAATAAATCAACCATGTGGGGTTGACGAGATTCATGCGTGTAATCATAAAGTTATGAGTTTGAATTTTTGCCTCTTAATTTGAGTTTGTTAAATATGAATAACTTAAACTGATTTATTTATGTTTCTTTATTGGATATAGTCACAATACGAGTTTACTCACAATCGAAAGGGTTGTGAGTTTTTTTTGTCATTCAAAAAGAAAAAATGAACAATGTTGGGTTGATTAAAAGTTTTATTGTGTTGTTGTGGAAATATTAGTTATGACAATATATCATTAGTTATATAATGATTTTTAAAAGGAAAAATTGCACTTTTTTTCCCTGAGTTATATGCTTACTAGTAATTGACCCGTGCGATACACAGACTACTTATTAGTAACATTATTGTAAAATTTTATATCAAACAAAATATCTTTTTTTTTTTAATTTGAAATTTATATGTTAAAAAATGTAATTTTATATAAGTTGAATAATTTTAAAAAAATCGACATCTAAATGTAAAAAAATTAATATGGAATTACCTAATTTGAAATTTATATGTTAAAAATGTAATTTTATATAAGTTGAATAATTTTTTTAAAAAAAATCGACATCTAAATGTAAAACAATTAATATGCAATTACCACATCGGTTCACAGTGAAATGCAAAGTATTATAAATTTACAAATTATTGAAAACTTCATGGTAAGACCATCTAAGATTGTTGACCCGAGAATAGCATCGTATAACTGACCATCCGGATGGTTGACCCGAGTACATTTTTTTTATTTGTTTTTTGAGAATAATTATTTATAGAGAATGTTTAACATTTTGAGTAGATGTTATATCTTTATTCTCTGCAATAAAAAAATATTATATACATATGTTTAATATCAAGTATTATGCAAATTTATTTTCCAACATATATTAAAAAGTATTATGCTAATTTATGTATCAAAACATTTATACTTTTACCAACTATTTATCGAATGAATTTATATAATTAGTACATCTAATTATATACATAAAAATAATATCATTAAAAACATTATTTAATAGTTTTTTAAAATAATATAATTATATTTATGTAATATAATAATATATTTTAACTATTATTATTATTATAATGTTTATAATAATAATAATAAAATATTAACTGAAATGTATAAATATGATAATAATCTTATATAATGCATATAAATATTCATATATTCAGATATAAATAATAATAACATTACAGAAAATAATAATAATAATAATAATAATAATAATAATAATAATAATAATAATAATAATAATAATAATAAAAAAAGATAATAATGATAACCTATAATAATGAAGCACAATGCAATAATGAATGAAATTGGGATGTATGATCAGCCCATATTATATATAGAGACCATGATTAACCCATTTCAGCCCAAAAGTAAAAAATAAAAAATAGCCCAAGTATAAAAGACCATTCAACCCGTTTCAGGACAACAATTTGCCATTCTTCACCATTTCGCCCTTCAACTTCATGCTCCGACTCTCTGAGCTCTCACATCTTCGAGAACAACCTCACTCTACCGATTTGGAAATCTGCTCATCCTCTACTGTTCCACAGATTTAATTTTCGTATGAACAACTATTAGTTTGTTTATTCCTCAAAATCAGCCATCGAAGAGCAGAGAAAAACAACTCCTCTACACACCGCCATAGCATCTTACTGATCGGAGCAAAAAACTTCGGAACCATTGTGATACAGATAGCTTCCATCAATAAAATGTAAGTTTTGTTTATTTTGTATGGCTAAAAAACAATTTTAATTCGGAGATCTAAACCCTAACTTATTGATTTACAGACCTAACTACTACGTACACAAGTTAAAGGAATACAACTCAATATCTGAGTGTGAAACATCCCTATATGTACATGCAGACCAAGACTGCTGTCAATTAATTCGTCGTCCATGGTTGATGCAGACGGGACAGATAGGTTGGTTGGTTTGGTTCAAGAAATGCAGCACCTTAAATCACCAAAATCTGATGATGCAAATTTGTTTGGAGCAAAGATTACTGCTGGTGGTTCTGGATTGACCGTATGTATCATTGGGAGAAATTGCTCGAGAAGTAGTGAACAACTGTTTGAGGTAAATTTTCTATAATCCTTTCTTTGAATCATGATCATAACAAATGCAAAGAATTTTAGTTTAAAATTAAGATATTTCAACAATGCAATGTTTGTTTATTATGTACTCCGTATTATTGTAGTGATAAAGGTATTGTTAAAGAGGGTTTGTAATTTTTGTAGACTCAAAGGAGATACAAAGCTGCGACAGGGGTATTTGCCATATTTTCATTTAAGGTTATTAGATAAAAATCCTAACTATTGAATCTATCACTCAATAACTACTTTCATAAATTAAAAAATAAAAAAATAAAAAATCACAGGAATATAGAAGATATGCATTAAAAATAAAATTGAAATAAAATAAAGTTGTGTGTACTGTATCATAATCAGCATAATGAAGATTAAAATTTTTGTAGTTTTTTCTCATGTTAGAAAATAAAGAGACATTTAATATAAAAGATCAAACAGAAAGTGAATGTTAAGTACCAAAACTACACTGTTAATATGGTTTAATTGATTCGAATTTATATCTAAGCAAGAGGAAATACAATATTAGAAAAGGTAAAATGAACAGAGATGTAGCCCTTAGAAAATTTATACACAATAATAGATAAACTGACCTTTGTTTTCGGATGATACATTCCTCTTTTTTCCAATAATAGTGGAAGCTGTTATCAGGGACGGAGGGAGAGGGGGGGCGGGGGGGGCGGCTGCCCCCCTCACCCCACCCCCACCCCATATATAGTATTTGTATGTATATATGTATATATAGTACATGTTTTAGTATTAGTATAAAAAAAACTATAAAATGTTAATAAGAAGTGAGTTAGAGTAGGTGGTAGAGCACATTTTTGTTAATAATAAGGTTAAGGGTTCCAATCTTAGCATCAACATAGTTTTACAATTCTTTTTGAATAGCATTTTTAATATTACACACACACACACACTATAATAAGATGTGTAATTTATAATGTGTTTTCTATTCAAATTATTTTATTAATTATATTTCATATTTTGTTATGAATATTTTTATAAAGTTTCGATGTGTTTTATTTTTCGTCCATATCCAACAATATTTACAATTATATTTCTTAAGTAGTTTATTTATTTATTTTTAAATTATCTCTTTTGTTTTAATGTTTCGCTTTTTCTGGAAATTGTTTTTGAATCTGTTGTACTGTTTCGCCCCCCCCCCCCCCCCTTCAACCGAATTTCTGGCTCCGTCCCTGGCTGTTATTTTCTTCATAGTTTTGAAGAGTTCTTAAAAGTTTATTCTTTTTTTAAAAACTAAAGAAAAAATACAATACATTTTCATGTTCTCTCTACTTGTATTATAAAGTTTAATTTCTTTATTAGTAAGTACATTTAACCTGAGGTGATAATATTAATAGGTTTGCTTCAAGCAGATTCTTTGGAAGGCAAAAAGGGAAGCTTTAACATGAAGGTAAGTGTTCTAAAGAACTTATAATTTATTGCACTGTAAATCTCTTGTGTGTTCATGTTCATTACCTCTTTACTTATTTAATATTGTTTGATGTGTTATATTGAATATTTAAATTGGCATGTAATTGAAAATGTTCTGCATTTCTTATTGAGTGATAGAGTGTTCTGCACAAGTTTTAATCATACCTTTTATTTAATGAAACATGTACATGAAGTATTGATAGTGTAACAAACTAATTTTTTTAAAAAAATTTTAAAAACTTATACTTAAACCATACAACTTGAAGATGAATATTAAATTAAGTTTACATCTGATTACACTATCTGATTAAAACTTAATAGTTAAACATACTTAAACCATAATCTCAAAAGGTTTTCAATAACCTAGTGTATTAATACACTACACAATAGACATTGGGACCAAGAAGCTCTAAACGTAGCAAACTGCTGCTGATTTGTAGTTGACCTTTAACTGAAAACATGTTGAAAAAGAAATACACGCAGAAAATAAAACAGAATAACATAATACATATTCTAAAGCTAATAAAAAATATAAGCAGTTAAAGCAATCAAACATTCAAACTTACTGTGGATGGGATCAACTTGAGGTACATATTCCTGCCTAATAGATTACAATTTTTATTATTTTCAATTTTTTTATAATTATGTTGCAGTTAATGTTTGATATCATGTGTTGAACTCTAGAAGTGGAAAAGAACATATATTAAAACTAAAAATACATTTCAATTTACTTATACAGAACCAATACTAAAAAATGAATAGTTTTAAAGACTAATCTTATTCTTGCACAATACAACCCGATGCAAAACCATTTTTTTTAATACAAAAGTGTCTTCTTATTGATTGCTTCACACTGTTGACCAATGACCATGTTGGAGACTCCCACTGGAGATGAAGATGATGATTACAAATTTGATGATTCTTGCTATAGTTCTAACTTTCTTATTTTTTATTCTTAATTAATTTCTGTAATGATATTTGCTCTTTTTTATATCCCAGTAACGGCCATTCAGCAGAGAAAGGTTAGCAAGACACTGCAAGTAGTTGGAAGAATTGTTCAAACTAAATATTGCAATGTGTATCAACAGGTAAGTAAAAACATCACACTTTTATGTATTACTTTATCCTACACTTGTAATTCTAATTTCTTCGTATATTAGGATTTATTTATTAACAAAGTAGAAATAACACACCTCTTAATCATGGAATACACATTCTTGACATCATTCTTGACTTCTGATCTGTTTTTCTCCCCTGCATTCAGTCACAACACGTGCCTAATCGCCTTTGTGGTCTGTTAGTTCCGCACACCAGGCAGCCGTTGATTCCAGAAACCTATAATTTGATTTTCGCTTTGTGTTTACATATAATATGTTTTTCCTCTTTGTGTTGGATAGAGGATGAAGTCTCTGAGTTAGGGGGGTGCATCGGTCGGTTCGGGGCGGTTCGGGTGGGCGGATGGTAAACCCTTTCGGATTTCGAATATCATTATTTAAATCCTATTTCGTTTTTTAATCTAAGAAATCTACTCGGGTTGACTGAACTTCGGGTGGGGTCAGTTCGGTCGGATATCCGAACCAATTTCGGATAGTTCAATAATAATGAAATAAAGGAAAAGCACTACAAAATTGAACAAAACAGTGTAAATATAAAAAGTTAATATAACATACATGCAATTACATTTTACTCTAACTGCAATTACATGCCAAAATACTACTAAATATGCACTTAAGTCAAAAAATTATCCTTGCAAATTGCAATTACATGCCAAAAAAGTACTGAATTTCCAAGTTCCTACTTCCTAGTCTTCCTAGAGTTCCTAATCTCTTCCTATTGTTCTTCATCTTCCTGTAAACACTCAAAACTTAAGCAAAGTTAGCAACAAGTCAAAATGCCAAATAGCAAAAATAAGTTATTGAGCAACAGAATATCATTAGACAGTTATAATTTATAAACTTGGCTCAGTAAGCTTTTTATCCATATCAAAGTTAGGATTAAGGGGAAATTGCTACAACATCCCCACGAGGATGGAGCAACATACCAGCTTAATCCCTTATTTTTCAGATCATTGGTGGAAGCTTTCATCATAGCCATAATATAATAAAAGTATAAAACATAAACAAATTGTAAAATGTGCCAACTTACCAACAATGTAACAACTTACAATGGCAGCAACTAATTTAATTAGTTACCAAGCCAGCTGCAAGCAAGCCTCATGAGTCATGAATAACAGGCAAACAGCATAAATGTATTACAGAATACATTCAAACAGAAACAGCAGTATAAAGTATAAAGTACAAAGCATAGCATTACATGAATTGTAGCAAGTGTAGAACCACCACTCCTTCCAGTTCCACTGCCACCATCAGTCCCAATTTCTGCAACAACAAAAAATTATAAGGAAAATAGGAAATAACAAATTGTTAAAAAAAATTGATAGAATGTGTTACCTTGTTCAAATCTCTCCAATTCCTCCAGATTTTCCTCAATTGATAAAGGGGTATTTGATAGCCTAAGCCAATCCTGTGTACAGACCAAAGCTTCCACAATTTTAGGAGTTAATGAACTCCTAAAAGGATCCAAAACCCTACCAGATGTACTGAAGGCAGATTCTGATGCAACAGTAGATATTGGTATAGCTAAAACATCCCTAGCTATCTTAGAAAGGATAGGAAACCTTTCAGCATTCAACTTCCACCATCTAAGTATGTCAAAAGAGGTTTCTTCTTCAAGTATTGCCTCAGCAAGGTAAATTTCTAACTCAGTTTTTTTCATTCCCCCACTCTCCAATCTTTGTTTCTTAATCTGTGACTTTAACAAATGTTGGGGCCTCCCAACTGTAGACTGTGAAAAATCAGTAGGAGTACTGACAGGAGTAGAGGCAGGAGTAGAGACAGGAGTAGAGGCAGCATAATCATTAAACAACTCTTTCAAGGCTGCAATCACTTTCTCATAGTATGGTTTACCTTTTGCCTCACCATACATGTGATTCATTTGTGCTGCCATGTACTCTAACTTGTCTCTTGGGTCTAGAATGTTTGCAAAGAATATCATCAAGTTCATTTTATCTATATCCCCCAATATTTCTCAAATTTAGCCTTCATATTTTCTCCCATCAGTTGCAAAGACCCTCCGGCTTCCACCATGCCATTCAAGAGGCAGTATAAATCAGAAATTTCAGAAAAGAAAGTGTTAGAAGTGACATATAAAGAACCAGAAATTCTTATTGTCATATCATAAAAACATTTCAAGATCTCCACCAAACTCTTCACAGACTCCCAATCAAGAAAAGTAGGAACAGCATCAGACAGATCTGCTTTGTAGGCAGTATCACTTTCTTCAAGTGACTCAAACACTTTCTCATAAATAATTGCAGATTGTAACATAAGATATGTATAGTTCCATCTGGTTGGAACATCTAGACACAAAGATGATTTCTGTTCAATCCCATTCCACTCAGCCAAGTCCCTAAATTTCTTAAGTCTAGCAGGTGAACTCCTCACATATCTTACAGCCTCCCTTACCCTCTTCACAGAAGAATCACATTGTTTCAGGCCATCTTGGACAACAAGGTTCAGAATATGGGCAATACATCTCATGTGAATATACTTGCCCTTCACAGTAGAGGTTCCCCAAGACATCAATTTCTTTTTTAAAAAACCTATAGCAGTGTCATTAGATGAAGCATTGTCTACAGTTATACTATACACATTCCTAATCCCCCAATCAAGCAAACAGGTTTCAAGGACTTTTGCTACAGCCTCACCCTTATGTGATGTAATAGGGACAAATGAGATAATCTTCTTGTTAAGCTTCCACTCTTCATCTATAAAATGGGCAGTCACTACCATGTAGTTAATTCTCTGAATAGAAGTCCAAGTGTCAGTTGTAATACTGACTCTTTGAGTGTTCCCCCTAAAAACACATTTCAAATTCAATCTTTCCTCTTCATAAATCAGATTGATGTCCCTACTAATTGTCCATCTAGATGGAATCTTAAACCTAGGACAAGCCACCAGAATGAACTTCCTAAACCCTGGACCCTCCACAAATCTAAAAGGCAGTTCATCAATTATAATCATTTCAACCAAGGCCCTCCTAATAGCTTCCTGGTTAAAGACCCAAGTTCCTAACTCACCAACAGTAGCAGGAGATGCATCAGAATTTGTAATAGCTTGAAAGGTTAACAGTGATTGTCTAGTGTCTTTAGAGTGGGGGTTTTTCAGACAGCTAAGCATGTGGTTTCTCAAGGAGGTAGTACCATGCTTTTTAGACTGACATTGATATATTTTGGCACAATATATACACTTGCCTTTGATAGTAACACCAGTACTATCCTTAATTTTTTCATAATGATCCCACACTGGAGATCTGGACTCAACAATCTTCCTCTTCTTCTCAGGAACTGCAGTAGTAGGTTGCACATTCTGTTGATTATTTGTGTCAACAGTTTGGCCTTCCACCACTGTAGACCCATCAATTGAAGATTTAGAAGGTTGACTTCCAGACTCTATGATATTTTCCATCTAAGTAAATGGAATACCATTAGTATAGTGGTTACTACTCAGTGGGAAACATATTGAACAAGTACAGATATTCAGATAGTCACAGACAACTGAGAGAAATAGAGAAATCCAGAATCAGAAGACAGGCACCTCTTAACTTCATCATTTTTCTAAATTTCATAGTTGGGACTTTAAGAAATTAACTATTAAGGGTCATGCATCCATAAACTTATAACTTATAAGTTATAATCTATACAGGCATACAGTGATACAATCACAGTATCACATAAATCACACAAAGTGACAAAGAAATCCAGTAATCAGGAACCTGTTAGCCTGAACACTTTCTCATCATTTTACTGGATTTAAGAGTTGGTAGTTACAATTGGGGCTTCCACCAATCCACCATTTACACCAACACAGGCAACATCCAATAGCCAACACTCAACAGGGGTTACTGGGTTAGAGACTTAGGGGCTTCCACAAACAATACAGACAATCACAAACCACATACTCATAGAAACCCTAATCACAGTATCAAAAATTCACAACTAAGGGACAAGTGACATCAGAATCCAGAACTTCTCAACAGATTCACATTGTCACAGTCCACATAAATGACATAATCATAGAAACCCTAATCACAGTATCAAAAATTCACAACTAAGGGACAAGTGACATCAGAATCCAGAACTTCTCAACAGATTCACATTGTCACAGTCCACATAAATGACATAATCATAGAAACCCTAATCAAAGGATCAAAAATTCACAACTAAGGGACAAGTGACATCAGAATCCGGAACTTCTCAACAGATCCACAGTGTCACAGTCCACATAAATGACATAATCATAGAAACCCTAATCAAAGGATAAAAAATTCACAAATAAGGGACAAGTGACATCAGAATCCGGAACTTCTCAACAGATTCACAGTGTCACAGTCATCAGAATCATACAATCACAACTAACACCAAAGTATCACAACATATAAGAGTATAATCTAAGTAAGTCTAAGATTAGGGTTTAGAGATTACTTCGTTTCTCCAAATCAAACCCCCGAGAACAAAGGGCTTCAAATCCGTTAGACCGTGAGTCCGTGACAGCACTGAGCACTCTACAATCCACCGCACCGGCCACCGGACACCGGTCGTCCAGAATAGGGCTTCCACCGAACAATATTACCTAGCTTCCACGAGTTCCACCGGAGACTCACACTCTCAGCTTCCACCGAACAATATCACTATTAGTCTCTAGAAGAAACTCAGAGAGAACGAGAGAACGAAGCGTCTCACTCTCTCACAGAATCAGAGAACTGGAGAAGAAACTCACGACAGAACGAGTATCAGATTTTAGATTTTCAGATGAGAAAGACGAGACTCACGAGAGAACGAGTGGAATGGCTAGGGTTTCCAGAGAGTTCTCAGAGGTCAGAAGAAAGAAGAGGAAGCTGCGCAAATGAGGGTTTCCAGAGAGTTCTCCATCGAACGCAACACATATATACATCGCTAGGACGACGTCGTATACCTTAAGGTAAATGAACCCTTACCCTAATTCGGGTAATCGGACGAGTTCGGGGGGGGGGGGGGGGGGTATTTATAAGCCCCAACCCGCCTCCTCCAAACCGGCTTATTTCCGTAGAATCGGTTCGGTTCATGCTGTTCGGGTTCGGATTGCCCCAAATAGAGCTTAAACGGGTTCGGGTCGGTCGGGTAATTCGGGTGGGTCGGTTTTTGCACACCCCTACTCTGAGTATGTATGCTTATATATAAGCGTGGAACTGAGATACAGCAGCAAGACAACCGTGCGAAAAAATAAAATAATACAAACTCTGTGCAGAATAGACCACTCCCATACCCATTTAGTTGAAAACACACGCTTCCTATCAAGAAGCCGATTAGAATACTGACACTCTCTGTCAACAGGCAGTGGGCCACGCCCCTAAAAATCAGGTCTGATAGCATTCTGATCGATTTTAGATGGGCGGGAAAGATCAATTTGATTGGCCAACCACTAAGCAGCAAAAAATAAAAAGAAAAATAAAAATAAAAAACGAAAACGTTTTACATAGGCGGGAAAACAGAAATTTTTTATTTACCAAAAATGTTTGGCTTTATTATATAAGAGGATTGTGACAACCCAAAAATTTATTTTATAAATTCGGTTTTAAGAAATTCCGAAATAGTCATTTTTCACTCCATGAAAATTTTTGCAATGAAATCGGTGTTAGACTAAAATAGTAAAATATTTTGAACCACTTTTAAATGAATTTAACACCGGAACATGATTTGAAAAAAAAAAATTCTAAATTCTCGGGTACATTGCGTGCCAAGTTTTGAACTGAAAATTCAATCTGAATGAAACCTGGAGAAATCAGAGAAACCTAAATCAAGTGTCTATCTAGAAATCATTTTGAGAAATTCAATTTCAAACCCAAACTACTTTTAAAATCCTGATTTTGGACCATAGACCATGAAGCATGGTGAACCACACCACTCCAAGAGCTTGTCTGATGCAACTTTCTTGCCAACCCTTTACATTTTTGCCCTCCTCCAATCATGAGAGATCTTCCTAGGGTTTTGTGCTACTATATATTGAGCCATTCTCAAACATTTGCCTCTTGATTCCACTCTTTGCGTCCCCAACCATTTTGCTCTGCAAAACACAAGTCACAGTAAGTTTTCTCCAAGCTATAGCCATCCATTTCTTAAGCTTCCTTCTATTTTATCTCTGAGAACATGGTAGTAAGTGGTTGTGTGATTTGTTTGAGATGTTTAGGAGGTGAAGGAGGGTGTAGTTAGCTTGGGAAGAAGGTGGAATCCCAGCCAAGAGAAGAAGTCTACAAAGGTATAACCCTTTGGACTCCCAAATCTATTTTTGACTCTGTGAAGTCATTGTTTGTGCTTAGAAATGAGTAGAAATGCTAGAATAATGTGTGTTTGAGCTAGTAGAATGTGTTATTGTTGAGCTTAGATGTGTTGTTGATGTTTTGGGAGTGGTTATCTGCCTGAAAATGTCTTGCAGGTGAAGAAGAAGCTCACTGGTGCACAACACAGTGTGCACCAGATGAGAGGCGGGACTAGCCAACGGCCCTAGGAGGGAGTCGTTGGCTAGGTCCGTGGAGGAGCGGCCCTAGGGCACAACTCTAGCCAAGAGCCGTGGCTCTAGGCCGCCGCTTGGCGGCTCCAAGCGGCGGGGCTCCTCAAGCCCTGCTAAGCAGAAGCTGTGCAGTGGGCGGGCCCTTGTGGCTCAGCTACGTGTCGTTTCGGATTGAGGCTCGCGGGCCCTTGAGGCTCGGACACTCGGGGCCGTCACGACGCACGTTTAGAAGTTAATTTCATTGAATTTGGAGTAGGATTGAGCATTTTGTTATAGAAAATGTGAATGAGAATGTTACAGAGGTTGTTTGTGAAGGTTTACAGTGAAGGAAAATGCTGAGTGCTAGTTTTGACTATTTATTTGAGAAGCTTGAAAATTATATGATTGTTAGATAATGGAATATGATCAATATTTGTTAAGTTTTGCTAGAAAAGCATGCCTAGATGTCTAATTAACTTGTTGAGATGATTGCCAAGATTATTACAGTTTACAGAGCATGTTTACAGTAAATAAGATTATGTTGAGCATTTTGAATTCAATAGCATGTTGAATACTTGCTAAGTTTTTGCTAATGAAGAATTGCTAAAATATAATTTATGAGCATGCTTATAGAGTTGTTGAGAATTCACAGTGAAAAGATAATTGAAGTTCATTCTACAGTAAAGTGCATATTTGAGCATATCATGTTTTAAAATGCATAAATGACCAAAGTGAGCCTAAGTATTATTTTCAAAGACTCATATCTATTTTACAAAGTCATTTTCTTGTTGCATTGAGAAATTGTTGAGAAGTTATGTGCATAAGTTTGCATAAGTAAGAAGTTGCATGAGATATATATATATATATATATATATATATATATATATATATATATATATATATATATATATATATATATATATATCGTGAGGTAAATAGTATTTTGGAGGCCCGTTAGGACTATGTCCTTCCGGAAGAAAAGAGCAAGATCGGTTAAAAACTGGCAACAGTGAAAGAAAGAAAGTAAAGCAAGACACGGACATTGCGATCCGATATCATGTAACGCGGCGTATTCCCACGTTACGAGTTTGGAAACTACCCGCCAGGCTTGGAATCCTGGTCAGGGGGGTGTGCAGACTGATAGTTCGATACCTGATTCCACAGAGTTTGAGAAAAGGACTAAGAGAGTGGTTCTACGGGCGAGATGAGTATTAGGCCAGCTAGATGTCGAGCCCAGATAGGTCTATCCACCTTATGGTGAAGTCCTACCTCGCCCATGATTAAAAAAAGCAATCGAGTCAAGAGACTCAAGAAAAAGCCAAATCGAGTCAAGAGACTCAAGAGAAAGCAATCGAGTCAAGAGAATCAAGAGAAAGAAAACGAGTCATTGTGACTCTAAGAAACCTCCACAAGAAATAGTATTCTTTTACAAAAGAGTGTATATGTATATCTATCTATATTTATACTAAAAGCATCATGTGCATTTTTATTGCATGATCAAGTATGATTGCACGAGATTGCATAATGAGTATGATTGCACTAGATTGCATAATGAGTATGATTGCACGAGATTGCATAATGAGTATGATTGCACGAGATTGCATAATGTGTATGATTGCATGAGATTGCATAATGAGTATGATTGCACGAGATTGCATAATGAGTATGATTGCACTAGATTGCATAATGAGTATATGGATGATTGTATAATGAGTATGATCACACTAGATTGCATAATGAGTATGATTGCAATAGGTTGCATAATGAGTATGATTGCACTAGGTTGCATAATGAGTATATGATTGCACGAGATTGCATGATGAGTATATGATAGTATGAGCTTGATGTTAAGCTAGATAATTGTGAAAGCATGCCTATTTTTTTAATTAGGTTGCAAGCATATAGAAACTCTGTTAAGCATTGATAAAGTGTTGCCTAAGTGA